GGTTTTGGCTTGTTTCGATGACTAACCCCAACGGATGGGACCTTGGTTTGGGCCTTTTGCTTTCAAAGAATCTTCGGGCTTGATTTGGTGAGTGGGAAGCTACTTGTACGTTGTGTCCCTTGGTCAAATAGGGTCTCCCACCGAAGTGGCAGAAGTGGCATGCCAGGATGACCTTTTGGATAGCGAGTGGATGTGGGAAGGTCAACTTCAAATGGATCAGGGGTGAGGGTTGCTGGTTCAACTGCGACAAGCAGGCTTTTAGGGGATTGGGGGGTAGGGGTGTTTCCGTGTTTTGCAGGCCCAAGGTTTCCCTGACCCGTTCCCAGCTTCTCGCTACATAGAGGGTCATATGGGAACCAGAAAGGCCTGTACATCCTGTGAGCAAGTATCCCCATCAAGCCAAACTTTTGCTTTCGCAGGACACCTTGCTGTCTGCTAACCTCAGTGTAGCCAAGAACGCGCTACGGGAGGCGCAAGGGAGAGAGAGAGGGAGAGAGAGAAGAAAAGACAGACAGAGAGACCGACAGACAGACAGACAGACAGACAGCCAGCCAGCCAGCCAGACAGAAACGCTTCGCCATGCCTTGTTTTCCCTTACCACTTGCGAATCTTGAGGTAGGCAGCAAAGCCTTTGAGTGCGCTAGGTAGCTGCTAGGGTTCTTCTTCATGCTTCCCCCCTTTCGCCTGCCTCTTTTTGTCCCCGTTTTGGTTTCCCCCAGTCTTGTCCTGACCAGACTTCTTCACAACCCCAGGGCTTGGCAGGCCACAAGCCGCCGGATTCGGCCGACTCGACCAGGCGGTGATGGAAGGCCAGCGCCTGGAGGAGATGCGCGACGAGGCGGCGGCCGAGGTGCAGAGCGCCTGCAAAGCGCCCGGCCCTTGCCGGATCTCTGCCGGATCGCTTCGCTCGAATCGGTCTGGTGGCTTTTTTCTTGGCGCTGGCCGTTTCGTTGGTTGCAATTCCACCAGTTCAGAGTTTGGTTTGGTCAGCTTTCCACCAGCGGTCAACCCCTAAGAAGTGTTTTTTCTGCCAGGGGGATGCGCTTGACCAGGCTTGAGGGGTAAGCGTTTGGTTGGCTGGCGGCTGGTTGCCAGGAAGCGCCAGGAAGTTGGTTGGTTGGCGGAGTTTGCGTTCCGAAGGGTTCGCCAAAATCCCTGGGACGCTCAACCAATTTGGCCGCTGCCACCCAGCTGCCACATGCTCATAGAATTCCGATTGTTTCCCCTGCACAGGTGTGTTCAAACATTGGCTTTTGGTTGCCAGTTGAGTTGTGAGGCGGCATATTTGAGGAATCATGTGTCGAGGTCTGATTTCAACTCGTTCTGTGCATGCATTGCTGTGCTTATCCAAGCTTGGGGCTTACAGGGTATTCAGACTCAATTGATTTAGTAATCGACGGCCCTCAGTTTCCTTTTCTTCGGACCATTTAAGTAGCAGTTTCATTGGAACATATTGGAACCCACCAGCAAAATGCAAGTTGTCAACTGGTCCATCGAGGGTAGAAGACTATCAACTACGCTTGGCCCGTTCCCGTCTGAAAACAACTCATCAACGATTCCAAACATTTGGCTGTGGCTCAAAAAGCTGGTACCAAAATGGAGCCCTGGCAAGTGGAAACATGGACCAAAGCCCGCGCAACCCCGCCTGTTTAATTTTGAGCCACCCCCATTTGTGTGTTGCTTGCCATCCGGGGAAGGAGGCGCTTTCGGAGGCTCCCCTTGCCCGCCCGAGGCTGGCACAGCTGTCCAATACGCAGGGGGAAGACCGGCGGATGATGCGACTCGCCTTGCAGTCAAGAATTCATGGAGCTTCAGATAAATCAAAGCTGTCCAATAGGCCGCTTCGACGCGTGCATGGGTGCGACTTCTGGCCTGTCGTGCGCAGCAATTCGCATGAATACCGGCAGAAGTCCGAGAAACAAGCTATTCAGCCGGTTGTCCTCCGTGGCTTGAGTTAACATCAAGGAAGCCAACCATAGGGTGCGAACACCTGGACCTGATCACAGCCTCCACACATGTGCTCCCTGTTGCAAACAGCTGAACTTGTGACTTGCACCCTGTGGCATTTCGGCTGGCTTCACGCATGAAGGATCGCATGGGAAACTGCTCAATAGTTTTTTCAAAAAATGGGGACTTGCATGCCGTGGCATTGCTCGGAAAAGCCCGCGCCTGAGGCACGAGAAGGCGTGGCGAGTGCGACAGTTCCGGTGCCGGACGTTCGCTCTTGGCCCCTGCAGGTCCAAAGTGAATGCCGAAGGTTAAACCAAGCAGAAGCCACAGGGAATCCGGACCCACTGGACCCCTGCGACGCAGGCCAAGGAGTTGGAGACCTTTCTTCGGGGCCCAGTAGCACCCTGGCGCCTCAGCGCGCTGCACCAGCCGCACCTCGAACGAGAAGTTCCAGGGGTCCTGTTTTGGGGTTTTGGTTGGTGGGCCGGCCTTGTCTTTCGTTGTCTGTTTTTCCAGGCCGCCAACCTGTTTTTGTTTTTTGCTTTTCGACCACTAACCACGAACACAAAAGTGGCTGCACGCCATGAGCAAAAAGGTGACAGAACTTCTTGTTGCCCCTTGCCCTTTGGTGTTTCTCCAGCTCGCGTTAAACCATCAGAAGCTAATTGTTTGCACGTGGGTCTAAATCTGGCCAAGGTTTGTTGCGGCTTTCTGTTGCGCCGTTTTGTCGTTGAGCCTTCCATGGCTCTAAGGCGTTGTCGCTTTGTTTTCTGCTGATGACTGCTCATGTGTGTGTGTGTGTGTGTGTGTGTGTGTGTGTGTGTGTGTGTGTGTGTGTGTGTGTGTGTGTGTGAGAGTGTCAGATGTGAGTAATTGTGCATATAGCAGCTGTTCTGCACATCGTTATCAGTATGCAGCAATTCTGCCTGCAGTTTTGGTTGCACGTCGTTGTGTTTCGCTGGAGTTGTTAAAGCTGCTCCTATGCCAGCAACAGCCCAGGACAGGATCGTTGGGCACCACATCGCTGCTCGATCCAGAGGAGTACCGCGTGAATCGGGAGAATGCAACTGCTCAGGCGTGATGTCAACGGGAAGCGACGGGGCCCCACAAGGCATGCAACTGGGCAAATGGTGGTGTCGTCTCTCGATCAGTTGACGGTGTTTTTTTTGCCTCACTTGGCCATGCTGATGCACGTGATGGGCGCCATGTCAAGGGAACCCATGTTGGGTGCCAACAAGCCCAGTGGCAGCCTTTCAACGTGACATGGCTAGCAATATCAACTGATAGGCTTTGGTATTTGAACGCTGCCCAGCTGTTTCTAAGACATGCTGGGTGCCTGTGAGATTTGCCCAATCTGAAAAAAATCACCAGGAGTGCTGGCTTGTTGTAGTGCAGTATGGTGCAGTTAGACGGGCTCTCCAGTAGATTATTCTTTGACTCAACTCCTTTGCCGTCAGTGGCATCCTCCGGGCGTGCAGCTTGCGCGATTTGAGCTGTCCGGCCCTTTGTTTCCGATTTTATGACGGGGGCGCCGGGGGGGAAGGGGGGCATTTGGTTGCGGCCAGGCGGACAAAGATTTAGCCGCCGCCATGGAGGTGCACAGTAGCACCCGGGAGCAGCTGAGAAAGTCATTGCAGGAGGAGGCGGGCGAAGAAAATAAAAAAGAAAAAGAAAAGAAAAAACCAACTAAACACATGTTATATATGAAAAAAAGAACAAACACATAAAAGGATGTGCTTGCCTGTTTGGGTTGGTTCCATTTTTTCCAAAGGACACTGAGGGTTGGGCCAACACCTCGTTTCAACCTGTTTGAAAGCTATTGTTCAACAACCTCCTCTTCGCTTTCCTTTCGAGGGGACTGGGGCTTTGGCCCTGCTGTAAGAATGCGTAAGACAAGGTTTACCTTTTGCCTCTGGCCACCAACACTCCATTTGGGTATGTCTCACATGGGGCAACCCCAAAATGGGCGATTGCCCTTGGAACCCCCTCTCAACCACCATGGAACCCACTTGTTCGTCTCCTCTAGACGAAAATTATCTTCCAAGGTCTCCTTTACACAAAAATTATCTTCCGGGACCTCCCCCCACCATCAGGTCCCGTGCTTGGCGGGGTGCTACGAACTCCCGCAGGCGCAGCGCCAGAAGGACGAGGAGGTGCACTTTGCGGAAGAGCTGCAGAGCTTGCGAGAGCCACTCGGCCCAGAGGTCAAGACATGCCAAAGAGCCTGAGGGAAGGAATCCCAGTGAATCTCAGTTGATAGCAGGCAACCAGCCACTTTCCTTTTAAAGGGTTCCCTTGGTTGCCTACGGAAATGGCATCTGAGGATAATCTTGACCAGATTGTAACGAGCTAGTCGATGGGGGGGCAGCTCCTTTACTGCAGCTTCATTCTTTTCCAGGTGGGCAATGATGGTCATTCGCCCAGATAAAATAAAAGTTACTCATTTCCGGGATCTCTTTTGATATAATTAGACATATTTGAAGCAGATTCTAGAACGGGCAACAACTGTTTTTTTTTGTGTTTGGCAACCCGCTGTTTGCCACGAGGTGTTCAATCACAACCTTCGAATTTTAAAGCTTTGTCCATGGCCACGGCTTGTGTCGTGATGGTTGGCCGGGTAAGCCAAAGCCGAAGGTTTTGACTTACGCATAGGAGGGGCTCACCCCTGACCAAAACAGATAGGCACAAACCAAGCTGCGAAATGACCCCTTGCTTGATCGGCCCATTCCAAGCAAAACCAGCCACACAGAAATCACAGAAAGCGCTCGCTCTGGGGATCCACCAAGCAGATCCCTTGCCTGTGTGCAGGACGTAATTCAATCAGACGTCTCCAAATGTCAAAACGGATCCCCGTGCAAAATCATGGAGCTTACCAATAGTTTAACAGCACTCGGGTACGACCTCATCAAAATGAAGTGACAACTTGCCGACTGGCCCAGGTTTAGCAGGCAAAAAGCTCCCAACAGGAGCCGGCCCCAACGAAACTCGCGGAGGTGCAAAACAGGGCCAGCGAAGTTCTTGACGAGCGCAACGGCAATCGCAAAGCTCGGGACCCAATCACGTCCTAAGCAGGTGCAAGGGACAGAGCGAAGATCTATATAGTGCCCGAACAGGAGCGCTAATAACCAAATGGAGCGAACAGAAATCCGCAGGGCGCGCAAAGGGTCTCCAAGCAAGATCGCCGAGGAAAGTGACCAGATTCACTGAAGCCTAAGCAGGAGCCACGGGCTTGCAGTGGATGAAAGCAGAAGGATGGATTGCGGAGAGCAGAACTTTGATTTTTTAGGTGCCACATGAACTGACAGCTGTTTTCAAGGCCCCAGCTGACCCAGAAGCCTAGGGAGAGCCATGTAGGGGCCGACCCGGGTCTTATCTGAACATTGTAGAGATGGCCTCTGAATCGAGAACATTTGCGAAGAGGTGTCATGGATTCCCAGTGGGTTGGGGTACAGCCATCTGGACCTTGTGCTCCGCAATCCACTTGAGCATGCTTTCGAGCTTTGCCCGAGTTTTACACCCAAACCCTTAGTGCCGGTTTGGGCCTTTTTCTCAATATGTTTCTGACACGGGAATCCGGGAAGGGAGTTGGAGACATGCCACGACTCGAGCCAAGTGCCCTGAGGCACTTAGTTTCGCGGCGGCACAGCGTTGACACGGCCCTCGCCTCCCAAATGACGGAGAAGGATTTGAGGCTCCAGGAGGCTTCAGGGAGCGCGTTGGTTCCAAATGGGCGCGTCTCAGAATTCATGGACTAGGGACCTGAGCCTTTGATCTTCTTTTAAGGTGCCTATTGGGTTGGCTGCCACATGGCCCAACTGATCTGCAAAGAGCAATTTGTGGGGCAGGGCAACAGCCATAAAGTTTAGAACTGAGGGGTCGAAACATGTATGGAGTCGATTTACGTTCCTTCGATACACCAACATTTCCACCCGTTTCCACCCTTCTGTCAGGACTTTTTAGGGCAAGGCTACGGACCATCACCTTTTTCCGTCTACCCAACCAAGGTCTGGAATGCTGAACCTTAGATGCCCATGTCCTTTGCACATGTGATACGACAAGAAAGACAGGTCCTTACACCTCGCTTTTTGTGCGAGTAAGAATCACCTCCTGGACCATTTAGGTATGAGTTTGCTTTGTGGTGGATAATGCATATATATATATACAGGACAGGGAAGGGCATCGCTTTGGTCCAAATGTTCGACTCGTGTCGGTCCTTTTTGTTCTCGTTTCTGTCCCAGTTCTCGGAATCGATGTTTACTCATTCCGGTCCTAGTCCTAGTTCTGGCGGGCTTGGGCAGCCTTTGCGCACAAAAGCCGGCTGTGCGGATTATCCCCAAAAAGCCGGCAACCCGAAGATGCGAAAACCGTATTGACCCTAACAACCTGAACCCCAAGCCGTGTTGACTTTTAAGCCTGAACCCCCAACAACCCAATTGGTGTTGCCAAACCGAACCATACCCTAAACCCACAAAGCATGTCGACCCTGAGCCCCTGAACCTCAATTCCCAAGCTCTAAACCAAGTTTGATTGATCGTTTTGGCAGGTAAGTGACTACGACCAATACGAGTGAAAACTAGGGCCAAGATGAGCGGGCTACCCCAAAGGGAAGATAGTTTTCAGGAACCGTGTTTGAGTTGGCATCCTCCTGCCCACATGGCGTTACCAGAGGGACGGGGCGAGGGGACATAGAAGGAGCCCTAGCAGACACAAAACCAGCAACTGACCTCGCCATTGCCAGGCACAAAGGCAGCTAACCCTGGAGTTACGCCAGATCGAGGCACAAGAGCGCAGCAACCAGGACTGGACCATTAAAGGTTTATTGGGGGCGGGGGGGGGGAGCCAGGGATGCGCCTGAAAGAAGACTATAAGTTTAATCAAACCAGTTGCGGTGACCATACGAAAGTCTTTTCAATGAGGCACCATGATATAAAAAATTGCTGCAAACCACATTGCAGCGTTCCAGGTCCATCTTAATAGAATCGCCACCTGCAAGATGGCAAGGCTGGGGTGCTTATTCCTCGGGAATCAGTTCTAGTAGTGGGAGGGGGGCAGGACCCCAGAAATACGCATCTCTGCAGCAAAACATAAAACTTCATCGGCAACACGTGAAACATTCTTTGCAATTCAAAGTCGTGCAGGCGTGATGCACTCAGCCCGTTGCGCAGCATGAGGAAGGTCCTCTACCAGAAAATCCATTACTTCAGTTTTTGGACAATTCGCAGACCCTACAATCTCCCTTGCACGGTTGAGCTGGTGAGATGCCTGCTGTTCGGCTCAAGGCGGAACGTGTGCCCTCCGCATCTGGTGCTGGCATGGATCCATGCGCTCCAGGTCGATTTTGGCATGAGGTCCGGGATTGTGCAAAGCTTGTTAACCCAGACCTCCAGTGCAGCCGTCCTCCCTTTTTCGGAGAGAGTTTCGCTTTAAAATCAGCTACCAACAAACAGGCTCCTTTTTTCCGGTCACTGAAGGTTGGGGTGAAAGGCAACTTCGGACATCGACTGAAACCAATCAATGAATGCCACACTAATGTTGGACCCTCTTTACACCCCCCCTCTCCCTCGCTAGGAGTGGAACCAGTCAGCTGGACCCTCTTTAAGCAAATTCCTGGGGGTCTTTGAAAGACAGTACTTACTTTAGTATTGCCAAATCTACTTTAGTTTTGCCAAGGCTGACTCTCAGATTCCCAGTCCTTACTGTGGCATCGTTAATTTGTACTTTTGTATTGCCAAGGCTTTCTCTCAGATTCGCAGTCCTTACTGTAATATTGCCAAATCTACTTTTGTATTGCCAAGGCTGACTCTCAGATTCCCAGTCCTTACTGTAGTATTGCCAAATCTACTTTAGTGCTGCCAAGGCTGGATCTCAGCTTCCCAGTACCTACGTTAGCATTGCCAAATCTACTTTAGTTTTGCCAAGGCTGACTCTCAGATTCCAAGTACCTACGTTAGTATTGCCAAATCCACTTTTGTATTGCCAAGGCTGACTCGCAGATTCCCAGTACCTACGTTAGTATTGCCAAATCTACTTTAGTGTTGCCAAGGCTGGCTCTCAGCTTCCCAGTACCTACGTTAGTATTGCCAAATCTACTTTAGTTTTGCCAAGGCTGACCCTCAGATTCCCAGTACTTACTTTAGTATTGCCAATTCTACTTTGGTATTGCCAAGGCTGACCCTCAGATTCCCAGTCCTTACTGTAGTATTGCCAAATCCAATTTTGTATTGCCAAGGCTGGCTCTCAGCTTCCCAGTACCTACGTTAGTATTGCCAAATCTACTTTAGTTTTGCCAAGGCTGACTCTCAGATTCCCAGTCCTTACTGTGGCATTGCCAATTCTACTTTTGTATTGCCAAGGCTTTCTCTCAGATTCCCAGTCCTTACTGTAATATTGCCAAATCTACTTTTGTATTGCCAAGGCTGACTCTCAGATTCCCAGTCCTTACTGTAGTATTGCCAAATCTACTTTAGTGCTGCCAAGGCTGGATCTCAGCTTCCCAGTACCTACGTTAGCATTGCCAAATCTACTTTAGTTTTGCCAAGGCTGACTCTCAGATTCCAAGTACCTACGTTAGTATTGCCAAATCCACTTTTGTATTGCCAAGGCTGACTCGCAGATTCCCAGTACCTACGTTAGTATTGCCAAATCTACTTTAGTGTTGCCAAGGCTGGCTCTCAGCTTCCCAGTACCTGCGTTAGTATTGCCAAATCTACTTTAGTTTTGCCAAGGCTGACCCTCAGATTCCCAGTACTTACTTTAGTATTGCCAATTCTACTTTGGTATTGCCAAGGCTGACCCTCAGATTCCCAGTACCTACGTTAGTATTGCCAAATCTACTTTTGTATTGCAAAGGCTGACTCTCAGATTCCCAGTCCTTACTGTAGTATTGCCAAATCCAATTTTGTATTGCCAAGGCTGGCTCTCAGCTTCCCAGTACCTACGTTAGTATTGCCAAATCTACTTTAGTTTTGCCAAGGCTGACTCTCAGATTCCCAGTCCTTACTGTAGTATTGCCAAATCTACTTTTGTATTGCCAAGGCTGGCTCGCAGATTCCCAGTACCTACGTTAGTATTGCAATATCTACTTTAGTTTTGCCAAGGCCGACTCTCAGATTCCCAGTCCTTACTGTAGCATTGCCAAATCTACTTTTGTATTGCCAAGGCTGACTCTCAGATTCCCAGTACCTACGTTAGTATTGCCAAATCTACTTTAGTGCTGCCAAGGCTGGCTCTCAGCTTCCCAGTACTTACTTGAGTATTGCCAATTCTACTTTAGTATTGCCAAGGACTTTTCAGCAACCCCAAGACGGGTTAGACACTAAAGAGGACCCCAAAACAGTCGTGTTTGCCTGTAATATGTTTTTAGAAGTTATCTTAGATTTGATGGTTTGCGGGCCACTGGCAAAATGAACTTCCATCCAAGGCCTTTACCCTTTGAGCTGGGAAGAGCTTGGTTAGGTGAACCACCCTAAAAGTAAAAGGCCAAGGCTTGAGTCTAAGAATTTCAGCAACCCAAGAAGCCGTTGGACACAAAGAAGACCCCAAAACAGTCACATTGAAGAGGCTCAAGGCCCCTTGTGGGCAACCCCTGTGTGCGACTGTTTGCCCGCACTTCTTTGTACGGAAGCTATCTTAAATTTGATGGTTTGGGGACCACTTCAAAAAGTATTGTTTTCTTGTTTTGTTGCTCGACTTCTTTGCCAAGTTTATTTGGCCCATATTTTATCGGAGGCTTAGTCCCAGACAAGATCAGAAGAGTAAAACACAAGAAGTGTTTTTTGGGATGTTTTTCGGGGAAATAACTTGCTGCACTTGAGGACCTCAAAACAATCACAAGATCCTGAATTGCGTTTTTTTTTTGCTAGAAGAGAGGGTGCTATTATCACAGCAGGTGTAGCATTATTCCCCACTATTGGGGAACCATCCCTGGTTAGCGCGGCCCTTCTAAATTCGAATTCACGTTGACTTTTCACGTTGAACCTACCTTTGCTTATGCGTTCACATGTAGGTCACATTTTTTGGTCGTTATGGACCGTTTTTGGTTCAATACATTTCCACACCCTGCTGAGGTCCTTTGACGCTTTTGCACGGCCAGTGCAAGAGTTTCAGGTGAAGACAGCAGTAGGGGGCTACATCTCCATCGGCGCCATTTGCTTGGTTTTGGCGCTTTTCTTCTCAGAGTTGGCGTATTTTCTGACCCCAGAAGCCAAAGATGAGCCTTGGCTCGGCGCATCTTTTACTTGCCCATAGCGCGTCGACCTTCCATGTGGTTTGTTTTGGGGGGCCGTTTGATTTGGGTCGTGCCAAATGGGCCAAGGAGATGCTTATTGACCAGAACCAGGACCGGAAGTACCTGAACATCTCTCTGGACCTGTCCCTGAGCTCCATGCCCTGTAGCGCGCTGTCTTTGAATCTGTTGGACCCGAAGGGCGCCAATGTCATGCACGTCTCCCATGAGATCTACAAGCAACGCATATCCAGGGCCGGCGAGGCGGTGAATTGCAAGGGGCTAGGAAAAAGTGCCCCCCCCCAGCATGGTAGTGCATTTTGTATGCACCTCCTCCTGCTTTTATCCGGTGAACACGACCTTATGTTTCAGTCTTGAAGGGCTTTCTTCTTGGTGAATGATTCTGACTTCTCTGGCTTTGCTCCAGCCAGTCACCAGCCGTTGAGTCTGTTCACCAGTCCCTGGACGCGTTTTGGTTGAGTCTGTGGGGGTGTCTTCAAGGGACACCAAAGGGGAAAACCGCTGATGCCTGTTTGTGTCAAAGAACACGTGGTTTCAATTCACATGTGTTCTTTTTGGCACCCGCGAAACCAAGGCGACAAGGTTGCCCTCACAATGAACAACCGCCCAGTTTGCGCATGACAACCTGAAACGGGAGGCCATTGGAAAGCCCATCCGGGACTCGCTGCAGAACGTGGCCACGACGCCCACGCACCTGGCTGCGGCTTCCTTGCCGTCGCGGGGCTTGAGGCGGGAAGCCGCAAAAAAAGGCCCAAGGAAACATAGGCATTGCTGTGCCTTCCCCCCCAGACCAATGTGACGTAGCCTGGCGCTTGTGCAAGGTTTTAAGGCGAGCCTGCCACACAGCCGACTTCATTATGCTAAACTAGTGGGGGCAAGGGCAGGCCCAAACACACCCACCTCACGCTTCGGAACTCCCTTGGCGCGATGTGTCTTTTCTTTTGGCTTCCCGCCAAAACCATCCAGCAAGGACACATGGGGTTGCCTCTACTTGGGGGAAGCCTACAATGGTTTGGCCTCCCATAGCCTCCCTTTGATTGCCACCACCCTCGAAAAGGGTACCCTCAAAAGAAGATGCCGCCACATTGTTCCATTAGGGTGTTGTTTTTGCCAACCCGGCAGCTCCTGCGAGGACTAATCATTCCACCACACACCTGCGATGCCATTCGTGCTTTCAGAGCCACATCGATGCTTGCAAGTTCAGTACTTGTTTTTGTCCGGGATGGGCTTTGCCGTGTGAAAACCAAGTGTGTTGATCATGCTTTTATGTTTTTGTTCAAAGCCGAGTTTCCGAAACGAAGAAGCAAACAACGCGTTGTCACCAGCCAAGGACGAGGATGATTGCTGCCAGAGCTGCAAGGATGTGCAGCTTGCCCGCCCAGACTGGGGCCAAGCATCAACTTTTTATTACCTTTTGGGAACAGATGCTCAACCTGTTCGGCTTGTGAACCTAAAACTGGTCGCACGTCAGCCGTTCAAAGTACAAAAACTAGAGGCCGGGAGAAGAATGTAACTAGTATTCTCCTATTTGAATGTATAATTCAGACCCTTCAACGTTTGATTGTTTTCTGAGTTGTGATCTCGCGTTGGTCACTGTCGCTAAAGGTTAAGGTGTCTTTGTTGTTCATTTCCCATCACTTCCCATCCAACTTTCCGCGCAAGAGGCGTTGGGATGTTTTGGGGCAAGTGAGGCAGAGCTCCTTCCTGGAACGGGGCCTGGACGACCGACCAGACGGCTACGTCTTCGGCCAGTGCGCGGAGGAGCTGTACCGCTCTCATCCGCCTTTGAGCGGGGAGAGCTGCCGCCTGCAAGCCAGGCTGCAGGCAGGGTATGGCAAGGCACCTGGACCCTCAAACTACACATGCCTCAGAATTGGGACGAGATTGTCCCCCAAACCATGGGGACCCCCCATTGTACAGATAGTTGGGGCCAGGTGTCCTCCTCCCGCACCGTTTCGGCTTCAGGTGCGCAAGGTGCCCGCTACGTTGCACCTGGGCGTGGCCCGGCATTTCGATCCCAGCACTGTGCAGGCTGCCAGGGGCCTGGGGTGGAAAATGCAGGGCTCCTGTTCTTTTGGTCCGACCGACCCCCAACCTGTTTTTTTCCTTTTTGGGGCCCATAAGCCAAGGATGGTGCTCGAAAATAGCTGGCTTGGGTTAGAGACCCTCCCAATGGAATATCAAACATGTCAAAAGGTGGGTCTTTTTGTTGGGATGCTCACTTCCCGTCTACCTGGACTTTATATGCATTTTGGGAAGATCATTTAGCAAACACAAAGTTTGGACGTGTTTTGGCCCATCCACTCGGAAGTGGTCATGTTTGCGATATTCTTTGGGAACCCGGATCTGCTCTGGCCAACGGGACGCTGACGCTGCATGCCTATTTTCTCCTATAAATGGCGAGAAATTGTTTCCATGTCAAAGCACACATGTCTTTCTGTCTTCCTTGGATGTTGTTCCTGGCTCTATTGGCTTCCCGCTTCCGCTGTCCACGAATTAAAGTGAATCATTGTACCTTAAAATTACTTCAGGGGATAGCTTCCCTTCACCGTTTAACCTCATTTCACTTGGAACCCCAACATCCGCCAGTTTGAGAGGAATCAAAAGGGACCCCCTTCCCCCCCCCTCTTTGAGGGTGTCTAGGGGAGTCGCTGGTGGACGTGGGCGCCACAAGCGATTGACCTTCGGCAGGCTAAGCTTCAAGAGCTGACGGTGTCCGCGGACTTCTCGCACCAGATCCAGGAGGGCTCCGCTGAAGTCGACCCAAGCGTTTTTTTCTTAGGTCTTTGATATGACTTTTGTGGTTGTTTTTTGAGTGTTTTCTTTGCTTTGTTATTTCCATGCTTTGAGCGTTTTGGTTGTCTTGTTTGGCCTGGGAGCCGCCCCTCTGGATCCATGGGGTTCGAATACATGGCGGGCGCTTTTACTGCGCTTTCAGCCTTCTTGGAACCATGAGGTTCCAAGTCATACCATCATCTGTTCAATCGAAAACGGGGTCTGTTCCATGTTTGTCAGTGACGGCTGCGGCGTTCTTCCCTGAAGCCCTGGTTTCCCGCTCAAAAGACCAGACGTGCTGAATTGCCGCCGCTGATTGAAATTGCACATTTTTTGCCGTTCCTGCAAAAGAACGCGCCTGGTCCCCAAAAACGCCGCTGGAGCATTTCGTGAATATTCAAGAACTGCTGTGAGCGAACGGCACTTGACCTTGCAAACAGTCATGTTGCCCTAAAAACGCCTGGAGGCAGACAATTTTCTTCCCAGACTGAAAAAGCAATTTTCGTTCAGCAGGCGGACATTTTACACACTTTGGGATATCCAGGTACGCCCTCCCAACGAGTTTGGTGCACCTGAACTCCTTAGGAAGACCAAACCCGCCCCCCTCAAAGCCTCACCCCAGGTCTCATTCCTTGGTTTCCAAATTGGCTTCCAACGTAGCAATCTTGGCGTGTTGGGGGCAATTTTCGCGGCTGTTGAGAGGCAGTCCTTAATCCTTCCTTGGGTTTTTGAAAGCGATCCCTTGGCTCTTGGCCGGATTGGCCAGCGAACACCCCAGACATAGGGCCCTGATCCCAAGCAAATTATTTTTCTGGGCTGCTGAATGCCCAAATCCCAACAACCATGAATGAAACACGGCATCTACCAATCAGCCCGTATGATCACCAAAGTTTTACAGAGAGTTGGAGTTTCTGGGGGACAAGGCCCGGAGAGACCCAACCCACCAGCCCCAGCCTGGTAGGACCTCAGCTTCGGCCCCGAGTTCCCGGGCTTGGTCTCCGTGCTTCAAGGCCGCCAGAAGTCCAGCCACCGGGCGCCGCTCTCCGAGCACTACCAGCGCCTTAGAGCCTGAGGCCCTTTTCGGCATGCTTTTCGGGCCTTGAGGGTACCCACCTCCCCTGCTTAGGTGGAACTTGGCCTAGCTTAAGTGGGGCAGCCCACATGTTAAAGAATAAGTGGGAGGTGCAGTATTGGAGGAAGGTCCCCTTTGCCTTTTTCAGTTGCACACCGTCAATCAACCAGGGGGAAGTGTTCTTCAATCCAGGGCTGCCCTGGTTTGTGCACTCTACAACTTAAGCATTGGCAAAGATTTCTACTCAGGTCCTTCTCTTTGGTTCGGCCCCCCTTGCCACACACAACCAGCATCATAATGTTCTGCAATACGCAAGTCATTCGAGCAAAGGTGTTCGCGGCATTGGCCCATGCTGAAAGACTCAATTAATTCTAGAGTTGAATTCATGTCGCACTTGAATTGGCATGTTGAATATGAGTTCAGACTCTCGTAAACTGAACCTGCTTTGGAGAGCCCCTACATCGGCGTCCATGGCTGGACAGGGTCCGCAAAAGGAGACCATATCTCGTAGCTTGTGTGGAATGTTCGGGTCGCTTTAGACCCAGTGGCGGGTTTGGCATAATGTTTGAATAGTGCATGGGTAAGCGATGCCCACAAGCTGTGAAATGTACAAGCCAGAAAGTGAGGTATGACATACACGTGATCCCTACCAGCTACCAAGACGGCGGTTCTGAAATAGCCGGCCATCAGTACAGCGTGACGGAGTATGTGAAGCCAGTTGACGCTAGGAATGTCAACAATGACGCCGCGGTCACTGGACTGTGGCTGAACTACGACTTCACACCCTTCGAAGTGCGCGTTACAAGCAGCAGGAAGAGCTTGTTCCACTTCTTTACTGAGTGCTGTGCGATCCTTGGGGGCATTTTTGCATCCAGGCTCAACTGTAGTAAAAAGGTTTTTTTGGTTTTGGTAGCCAAGTTGCTAGCTAGCAAACTAAGGGTTTGCCTGTAAGAATGGATTTTCATCACCATTATTAGCCAGTTATCAATCAGGGGTCCGCATTTGTGGCTTCTTGGCTGTCGATCTGTTTGGGCTGAGTTTCAGCCTGCTGAGGCATTCTCCGGGCTACTGGACAATTTTGCCCACCAGATCCACAAATCCCTCGATGGCAAGCGGGGCATGCTTGAGTGAATGCAGCTGGTTAGTATCTGAGAATAGCATCGCCTCTGGAGGAATCAGAGTCCATGTCCGGTGCAGAAATGCCGTGAGGAAGCAGTGTGAGGCCGAGGAAGCAAAACCCATTTTCTTTCACTCACACAGGTTCAGTCGGTTCAGTGGAAAATCGGAAGCATAGGCGCGAAGGCAATTTGCCCGGGAAACGGACTTATTCGAGTTCCTCTTCTGTGCGTGGAGGGAGTCGGCCCGCTGCCAAGTTTCACCATTAGGTTGAGGCAAAGGGGCAACGCAAGCGAAATGAAGTTGCGCAGAATTGCGCAGATGTCAATGAGCCCTCATTTTCTCTACTGCTATTTGGTTGGGTCTTTAGACTTTAACTTGTTGGATACCCCTCACATTTCCTTTTAACCTGCCAAAAGTCAAAGTTTTGCAGGGGGATCTAAGACAGCACCCAAGTTTTGGTGAGGAATCCTCAAGACCCCAAGCTTTTGAGAAAAGTGACACATGTCTAGAGGTTGATTCCGATTCCATTCTTTACAACCATCGTTCTTTCGGCCGTTCTTTCGGTTTCCGGCGGTTTTCTAGAAAGAAGGATCCCTGGAAAGAATGGAAATGGAAGGAACCCCTAGACAAATGCCCTTTTTGGTTTTGTGAGAGATGGCCTTCCCCGGGAAACGGATCGGATCCCGAAGCAGTGATCCCCCTTCGAGGACAACTTGCGGCAAGAGGTGCGCCGGGCGAGGCAGCGCTTGGCTTTGGCCTCGGTGCGAAGACAACGGCGAGTGCTTCCAGGGAGCTAACAATCCTTTCAAAGCCAACTGGAAAAGTGTGGGTTGCCAACAGAAAAAAGTGTGGCTTAACTATCATAGAAATAACTAGACAGCAGCCCGTTGAGGTTGTTGCCAACCTCCACAGGAAGTGAGTCCATTTTCTCCCACGAACACGGATTCTGGCTGCTTCCTTAACTTTGCGCAACACCTGCGGCTCAGGAACAAGCTTCTGCCACCGCGAAGCAAGAGCTGGACAGACACCTTGCCCAGGTTGGGCTCTCAGACCAGAGTTATGCGTTGGGCTGCCGGGATTTACAGCATATTAATTCAATGCGCCTGGAAGATACCTGATGTGGACTGAGTTCCTCTTGAATAGAGCCTTTGGCACGTGTGGTGTCAGTGGTTCGTGCTAGTGTTAGCTTTAATGTTGGTGTTAGTGTGTGTGTGTGAGTCTGTGTGTTGTTTTGTTGTTTTCTTTTTGTATGTGTTTATCTTCTTTTTTGTTTCATTGTTTTTTGGTGTGTGTGTGTGTGTGAGGGCATACTCCTGAAGAACGGCATGGTCCAAGAGTACCATGATACCCTTAGGGAAATTCAGAGCAGCAAATGAAACAGCATGCAGATTCACAGCACCATTAGCCCAGCTGACACAACCGAAAAACCGGCATGGACAAAGCAGGCAAAGGCGACCACAAGTGGCACTGCAAAACAAAGCCATCACGAAGGGCGACTCGGTTTCCAACAGTCATGGAAGTAGACAGGGGCTCCCCAAAAGGCAAGGTAAAACCCTCCTGTCAGCTTCCACAATTGCTGGAGAGAGGGTACCCCATTTTTTTACATTTAAGGCAAGCGTGGTATTCAGATTGCCCTTACAGGTGAGGGGAACCCTGCAAATTTCATAAAGGAAGTTGGAAGGAGTCGAAGTCGGGCCGAGGTGAAGGCAGACTGCCGGGAAAAGCTCCGCAGCACCACTATCCAATGGGAGCGCGCGGTGCTGCAGGAGCGCAAGGCGCTCAAGGAGCGGTCGATGGTCGCAAGGGAATGAGTTGGAAAAGCCCCCCCCCCCCCAAAAAAAAGAAGAAGAAGGACACATCCCTTGTGGATCGTTTTTAAGTGAATCTCAATCGGTTCATTCCCGGAACCCTTGAAGGGAGCCAGCAAGTTGTGTTGTTTTCTCGGGAGCCGTTTTTCTCAATCACCGACCAGTTGTTAGGTAGACTTGTAAAGGAAAACTGGCTCTTTGAACCACCAGCTAGCTTTATTTTTGCTGACTTTTGTAAACAATGAGGAAAAAGCAGGGGTGGTAAAGCGCCCCAGGAGCGTCTTGTTTTGCTCATAGGTTTGCACTGTGTGCGTCTTGGTTTGGTTTCCTTGTCCTGTGTTGCTTTGGTGACCTGTTCCGAATTGTTTGGACCCGTTTTCTTGTCAGATCCTGTCAATTAAACCCCTGGTTCTTGAATTAGCCAGTCAAAGCTAATTGAATACATCAACGGCCCCCCGTTAATGGGGGCGATTTGTGTGTGTGTGTGTGTGTGTGGGGTTGTTTAGAATTAATCCTTGATTCTTATGCCGGATTCATTCCTTTTTGTATGGGAAGCCCCCATGTTGAACAACGCGTTTTGTTTTGGAGTTATAGGTGGTACTGCAAAGAATCCTCAGGGGCTACGCTAGGGCAGTAAAGGGACGAAGGTTCCTCCATTTTTTCAATCCGCCCCGATTTCAGAAAACCAAACCCCCGAACCAACCCCGAACTAACCCTGAACGCGGAACCAACCCTGAACCAACCCGGAACCAACCCTGAGCCTACCTGGAACCAACCCTGAACCAACCCGAAACCAACCCTGAACCAACCCGAAACCAACCCTGAACCAACCCGAAACCAACCCTGAACCAACCCTGAACCCGGAAGTAACTAATCCTAACCAACTTCCGGAGGTCCAGGTGGGAGACGTTTGCTGAGTCCATCCCAGGAGGTGAAGCAGCGCAAGGATAAGTGGCAGCGGCGCCTGGAGCTCACGAGGAACGCCTTCCGCGGGCACTGCGTCAAGCAGCTTGGCCCCGCCATCCTTTCCAACCCTCAACGCAACACAACACACACACACACACACACACCAGTGTTGGGTTTTGGGGATTTTATTTTAAAAATCCATTTAACACATCATTGTGCAACCAGGATCGTCCCTTGTCCACTTCTGTTTGTTCCGCTCGTGTGGCTTGGCTCAAATGCTGATAATCGAACTGGACAGCCCAGGTGCACAGTGGCGCCTTTTGTTTTTTTTCTCTTGGCCGGGGCTCAATTTGCACTTAACTTAGTTTGGAAAGCTTCTGGCCTTTAGGGGCCATTTTTGTCCAGGTCTGAAGTTTCAAAACAGGTGAGCTAACCGGCCAACAAGGGCAAGTCCTTCTTTGCCCTCTGGGAAACCACAGAAATAAGACTGGTCGGACCTTCTCTGCCAAAACGATTTTTCTTCCGTGCTTGGCTTTGGCCGTTGCCCTTCCCTTCCTCCCTGCCCAGTCCCAATGTTTGGTGAGCCAACATCAGTGATGCCAGTACAGCGCTGTGGGTCCCCATATTGCGATGTTTAGCACGATGGCAGTCATCATCCTTTTATCTCCAGGTTGCTTTTGCGGAATCAGGAAGTGGCAATAAACTTGGGGCCGCCCGAAATGCCTTCTGGAGGTTGAACCACGCGTGTCTGACTAAGGACTGGCGTGTATGCGGCTTGGCAGCACGTATTGATGTGGCTTGCAGTCATTTGTTTAGGACCATTTCATCATAAGCTTGCCAGCTTGTTGTATTCGCATCGTGTGGCACATGGCTCGTTCCATTGAATGAGGGACAGGGCTCGCATATTGGATCCTGCCAAAACTAGTAGAGGGAAACAACTTGTGTCTTTGGATATTGGGGATGTTTGCGGATAGCCCAGGGTTGGGTAATCCTTCATTGATTGTTGGAGTGGCAGCTGGAAGATTCAGGCTCTTATCGGCGTGCGAGACTGCAGGGATTCTCGGATCAAAATAGATGGCCGTTTAATCATCTACCAGGGCCATCTGTTTCCCCTAACAGGACACCTATGACAACGGTAGCCATATGGAAGGGGCCTTGCTCCTAACCTGTAGAGTCTTGGCTTTTTCCCCCCAGCGCTCAACAGGCTCGCTCTGTGGATGCTGGCCGGCGGGCCTTTCTGGACCGCCTGATCCCTCGCGAGAAGGCCAGCGCATCTCTGCACTGTGAAGGGCGGGGCAGGTGCCCCAGAGGCAATCTGTTTCATCACTTCATTGGGGTTGTGGCTTCCCTTTGGTGGTAAGTTTCACCTTTCTGGCCAATGTAAAGTGAGTGTCCTTTTGGCCTTTTGGCGACGCGATGCGACGTGATTTGTTACAGGGGAAAAATGAACCTTGTGGCTTCCTTGTCAACCACGATGTGTTTTTTTGGATGTTTAATTGACCCAGTTTGAGGGGGGTTGTAGGCGCTTACCCTTTGTGGGTTGGAGCGCTGTGAGCTGTTGTGTCTTTGCAGGTGCCTTCATTAATTTGGCCAAGGCGCAAGCAGTGTAAACTTTTCCGGGCCAGTGCATCGAGCAGGTCAAGCAAAGCGCTACATGCTTGGGACCAGCATTTCTCTCAGAGGATGCAGATGTAGGCCAATACCGGGCATGTGACAGCTAGAGAGAACACAACCAATTTGTTCATCCGGGCCTGCCTTTGATTGTTCCTGGTTGGCAGCAAAGGTTGCAGAGACCCGGCCACCCTCACCCAAACTTTTCAGCACTGAGCGGTTTTGCTTGCTCGGGCGTCCTTTTGTAAGCAGAGGAATCAAAACCCTTCCCATTCCTGAACAAATCCCACTTTTCGTTCGGGGGCCTCCTTTTGCTGGCAATAGTTGCATGAGGCTTCGTGGCAAGCCTCGCAATGCCTAGTCAGTGCCCTGCACTCCCCCAAATTCTTCTTGTTTGCCCTCCCCTTGAGCCAAAAGGGCACGCCTTCTTTCTCCCCCGAAGGGACAACCACTCTCTCGACAGGTGGAGCTGCCTGGCAACAACCCCAAGCCAGTGACAGACCCCGCGGGATAAGACTCTGGCCGTCGCCGGCCGTCCCAAAAGCGGATGCTGCAGGCGGCGGACAGCATTGGTTTCACCCATCCGGCGCACCAAAATGTAAGGAGGCTGAGGGGTCGAAGCCTCGAACACGACCACACCTTGCCTGCACTGTTGCAAGGCAATCCACCAGGGCCCCCTATTCTCAAATGAACACATGACTATGGGTAACAATTAGCCATGAACCATGAAAGCTGAAGGGGTGCTGTACAGAAATTCCATAATCCATTGGATTGCACAGCGTGGCACGGTGCTTTGTTTCAATATCGCCCTGCCAGCGGATGGATCGGATGGCTGGCGGCTTGTTCACACGAGCTTTCCTCAACCCTTGCCTATTCACCCCCTGGGCTTTTTGCTTGTTTTGAAACCACTGGGAATCAACCGGGGGTGGGGGGTTGGGGTAACTGTCTTGCAAGTAGGACGCTGCTTTTGGTGTTTGGTTTGGGTACCGTTTTTTGGGCTTGTTTCGGAGGAGAACAAGCGGCCCCCTCGATTTCCCCTTTTGGACCTCCAAAAGTACAAGACACATGGTATCCCACCGGTAAATCAGTAAGTTTCGGTGTTGGAATTGAGAAATGCAATCAGCCCCTTTACATTGGGGTCGCTACATTTTCCCTTCCCAGCCAGCTTCAAAATAAGCCAATGTATGCGACGTTGGGGGCAATCTTGGGAGCCCTGTGAGAGCTCTGAAGCACAACTGCTCAGGTTCGGAAGAAGCTCCAGGCGCCAATCTCGCGCTATGAGCCCGGGGACTCAACTGGATCCAAATATAGGCCAAATCACCAGCCCCCCGGGTTTGACTGCTTTTGTTTAGTGAGTTATGGTAACTTGCTGTCTAAAGCTTCTTTCTTGGTAGAACCAAGCGTCAATCGGTCTTGGCTTCGGCCCCATGATGCACCCAACGGAGGAGCTTGTTGGGAGATTGGGGCAGAACTGACTTGCGAAGCGCTTGGGCATGACTCCAGGCGGGGCCATTTCTTCAAGGCCCTGAGGGGCCAACGCGGAACCAAACATGAAATCTGGGCTGCAGATCTATGCTCGCTGCTACAAGCTGAAGTGGGAGGCCCTGGCAAGCCTCTCCTGCCTCGTGAGAATCTGAGTCTCCGGTTCCCTTTGCCCGGAGGTGATCCTTCCGAGGGGCACGGCTCAAAGCACCTGCTGCGGTGAGCCCTTTGGTGTAAGTCAGGATCGACAACTAGCCCAAGCTGAACGCGTACGTAGCACACTTTGCCCGGAGAAACTCAACCCACTGAAGTTATTGCGTCACTGGGGGTGTGGACTTCGCATCAACTAGCGAAAGCAAAAGGGGCACCCGTTCTCCACAATGCGCGCTGAGGCTGAGGGTTTTCTGGCGGCGCTTGGACGAGGATAGCGGTCAAGCCTCCATCGAGGAGTTCGGGCGCGGGCCCAAGATTCGAGATGCCTTTGGACATGGTGGATGCGTCTTGGAATCATTTTGAATCCTTTTTATCCCCCCATCTAGAATCTGGCGCCGTCTTTGAAAAGAGAAGCCCCATGATTCGGGTCTGTTTCTCGTTGAAGGGTCGACTCGATTTTTCGTCATCACTTTGAAGGCGGCTCATGTACAAAATCGAGCTGAGTCAGTGGCCCGAAGCCTCAGATCGAACGGGATCGGTTTTGGATGAAGCCGGCACCACTGGCAACCACTGACCACAGGCTGTGGTTTTTCACTATCATTGGCCACTTTATATAGAGTGAGTTCCTTGTGGGGCCAGGTTTACAGGGGAACGTATAGGGAGCCATGCACCAGCTTCGAGACAGCTTTGCCATATCATGCGCTTTGTATTGCTTGGTGATGTTTGGCTTTGAACATGTTGTTTGCTTGTGGGTTCACCGGCTTGCCCTCCTGCCCTCCTGTTTGCCTTCTTTCTTGAAAACGGAAGCGGGCGCACCAACATAGATAAACATCGTGCCTTGCCCACCTGACAACAATGTGGAATAGCTTGGTTGCATGCTTTCCTTGTTTTGTCCGTTGGCTGTTTGGTGTTTGTGTATTTTGGTTGGCTGCTATCTATGTAGAATTTGTGTTCGTGGCGCTGTTTGTTTGGATCTTTTGGTGTGTGTTTGTGTTGGCCTGGCTTTGCTCTGAATTTGCTTGGATGTTGTGCTCTGAGCGTGTTATTTTCAAGTTTGTGTGGTGCTTTGTTCTGGGTCATACCTGGCACGTGTGCAAAATTTTCGCCGTTTGGCAAAACAGCCCTAATTTCCGCTGTTTGGTCCAAAAAGCGCTTTTTGACGTGTCAGAAAAAGCGCCTTTTGCCCGGGTAAAAGCGCCTTTTGACCAAGGTAAAAGCGCCTTTTGACCAAGGAAAAGGCCTTTTTCCAGCACAAGCCCAATCAAGACAAACATGCATCACAGGGTAAGGCCCGCATCTAGCAACAGCGCTTTTTCAGCCAAAAAGCACTTTTTCTTGAAAGAGCACAAAACAAGTACACCTTGGAGGATCCAGGTATGCATTTGTTTATGCGATTGTGTGCTAGCATGGACGGCTGCAGGTTGGTTGGTTGGTGCTTGAGCATATGTGTGTGTGTGTGTGTGTGTGTGTGTGTGTGTGTGCGTGTGCGCGCGCGTGTGTGTGTGTGTGTACGTTGTGTGCGTGTGCCTGCGTCCCTGCGTGCCTACATGCGTGCGGCCTGCTTTCGTATGCGTGCGTGCGTGTGTTTGTGTTTGTGTTTGTGTTTGCTTGTGTTTGCGTGTTTGTAGGTGTGTTTTTGTGTTTGTGCGCGTGTTGGTTTGACACTGGGTAGTGCACTGAGTTTGTAAAGTTAAGGGGCATGATCGAATTGCATGTGCGCTGGTGTGCAGTTGTTTGCGCGCGTGTGATTTGTGGGTTGTTTGGGGGTGTATTTGTTAATTTTCCTTGTGCGTATCCGTATTTCTGTCTTGGTGTGTTTGTGCATGTATGTTTGGCTTGTTCTTTCCACCTTTTCGATGCCATTTCTTTATTGGCGCGGGTGCGGCCGGCCGTGGGCCATTCACGGTTTAGGCCGGACCTCTCTGACGAGGACATTGAGAGAGTGGCCGGCAGCCGAGCATCTCCTGGTGCAAAGTGGTCCCCTTCCATTAGGAGGGTGAGCTGAGAAACGAGCCCACTGGCTACGGGTTGTATGATTGATTTCTTCACAGTGACATAGCTGTGCACATAAATGAATATACACATGTTTCGCTCGTATTAATTGTTGTGCATCCACATGATTGGATGTTCCGGATGTTTTCAGGTCCCCTCTTCATTGCAGGAAAGGCAGACTGACCTACCACGGGCCGCGATTGTGCTGATGGGAAGCGACTCGATGACTGTGATTTCTGCTGCCTATCGGTTGGTTTGATGAGCGGAACAAGGTACACGCATGAGGCAAAACTTGGGTCTCCCTGCAAGCTCAGTTGCATCGGCAAACAAATGCTATAATACCAGATTGGGCTTGCCAGGGTTGATTAGGCATTCCTCATTGATTCCCTGCAATGGCATAAAGCCTGCTAACGTTGACGCCAAATTCGGGCTTTCCCAAACAAGTGAAGACCCCCGTCTAAAATGAGAGGCCTATGAATCAATCAGGGTCTTTCATTGAAAGGTCATACACCATATCAGGGCAAATATTGAAGGCGGACTTGTCAGTCAGCTGGATTCTACATGGCCTTCAGCCACCCCCCCCCCCCCCAAGAGGAAAAATGACAAAACGGGTGTTGAGATTTTGACGTATGCCTGACGCATAGGGAGACTACCCACAAGAAACAGGGGGTGTAGGCCCCTTAAATATGTACATAGATTTGTTTGCTGTATTGTACTTGTATACCCATATTTTCGCAATGGCATCAGAAGTGACAATCTCTTGGAATGACATTTGAGTGTGTGAGAATGTTACCAGGGTATCGGTTATGGATCTTTGGAACTCTGCTAGGTCGGGATCTTGAACCAAGCTGCGCACAAATGGCACCGCGCTGGGGGCAACTGGCAGCAGCCTCAGGAAACCAAGAACGTGCCAAAAGCTTGCACACGCTTACTTTCTGGGCAAACTTCCACGAGCTCACCCATGATGAAGGCCATTTACTTGGATTCATTCTTCCGGTTTGTGAATCATGCGAAGTAGACCAAATGGTTTGCCAGATTCAGAACTGTGAGAGAGAAAGTGGCTGACTAGGCTCGCTCAATCACCCTTGCCATCCGCAAAGGATCCAAGCTTTTTTCCCCATAGGAGAGGCATGCCCTTTTTGTTTTCTTTTGGGGGCTCCCCCAAGGGGTTGTTTTCTTTCTCCTCATGGGCGCTGCTGGACTCTGACCGTTTGTAAGTTATCAGCTGCGGTTTTGGTTCCGTTCGCCTTGCCCAAGGTTTAAGATTTTTAACCAGATCGATGCGGACGGCAGCGGCAACCTGTCATATGACGAGCTGGTTCAGTGCGCTCGGACCCTCAGTCCTCACTGAAGCAGCGATGAAGCGGGATGGAAGTCGAACCCCCGGAATCGAAGGTCTTTAGCGGCATATTGCCCAGACACGCTAGAAAGCAAAGGCTCCCCCGTAAGAGCAAAACTCTGGCCGCCTGCTACTCTGAAGCCAGGCGCTCAAAACTTCACTTCTTAGCTGCCTCCTTTGAGTGAGTTCTCATCTCGTGTTTCATTTCCAGGGCACTCTGCGTCTATTCGGCTTTTACCCTTTAACCAGACATCGTCTCTTGGCAGACGCATGACTTGCATGATCCATGCAGCTGAGGTGCGCGGAACCTACCCGTGCCTCCGGGTTTCCACCAAAGATGTGAAGGACCGGGAGCTGTCCGCACCCCAGAGCCACTCGTGGCGAGGCCGCGCGCCCATGGTGGGGGGAGGCAAAGGGGCGACTGATGGCCATGGCACCCGGGCAGGGATATACATGGGTGGCGAGTGGGTGGCCAAGGGGGAGGAGGAGAGCAATGAGGTTATTCAGCAGTGCTGCGGTTGGGGTTGAAGGTTTCTTCATTTCAGTGT